AGGAAGACACCTTCTGCTCCGGCGCCCACGTGGATTTTTACGACATCTGAGTTATTCTCGCCTCCACCTTTGCCTTCCTGCTTTGCTTTCTGCTCAGCCGCGTCTTGGGTGCCTCCAGTGTGTTTGGTGACCTTGTCCAAGTCCTGGGTGCTGTCCAGCTTTCAAGAAAACACCTATGGGTGCCTTATCTCTGCCAGGGATGGGGGGCAGTTATTGCTTTGCTGGGCTGTAGCTGTTGAGCTCTCCTGGGTAGCCGCTGGCAGGAGCGGGGATTTCTCAGCTGCTGGGGATGGTGGAGCAGAGGTGGCTTTTCCAAGGGAAATGGGCATGGAGGCTTAAAGCTCCCCTGTGCAGGAGCATGTGTGAGCCAAGGAGGTACTGAGGCCAGGTCAGAAAGCCGCCCCAGAAGGTCTCAAACAAGCCAGCAGTAGGGTTAGAGCTGAATGTCCCTGTGTCTGGCCCCTTTGCCCCGCGGGAGCTGTGTGCTCAGCACCCGAGCAAGTCACCAACGGGCAGAAGAGCCATCCCCAAGGCCGGAGGAGGTGGCTGTCACCCCAGAGCCCTGACTCTCTGTTCCCTGTCTCACCAGTGGCTTGCCCAGACCCTCCTGTTGTTCTGTGCCTTTCAAGTTGTGTTGCGTTAAGACATGGAGCGAAGCTCATCCCTGGGGGGTTTTTTGCACAAAGGCAATAAATCACCAGGAGGGAGAGCTGCCCATGGAGGAGATGTGAATTTGGGGTGCCTGGCTGGGCTCACCAGCTTACATAAACCTGTGCCCGAGTGCAGCGGGGGTTTGGCCACCTCCAAGACACAGCCCTGAGTTTGTGCCTTCCTCCTGTTTGCAGGTTCTGGGTCCAAGCCTGGATCTGGGGCTTCAGCCCCTCCAGGGTTCTTCTTTTAATTATTTGTAGGGTTTTATCCTCATTTTTCCATTGGGTTCCAGGATGCACAGGCGCTTATAGACTTGCCTTTCCAGAAAGCAGCCGGTCTGCAGCATGGGTTGATGCAGGAGAGCTGCTTTGAAGCCCTCGAAATGCCGGCTGTCTCGCTGCGCTCAGTGACAGCAACCCTCCTGCAGTCGTCTTCTGTCTCAGCCCCCTATTTCAGATCTTGTCTACCTGAATCTACAGTCATTAAAAGTATCATCACTGGTCTGGGTCCTCTGCTGTGTTTTTTAAAAGCGGATAAACTTTTGGAGGGTGGGAGGAGAGAGCCTGGGTTAAGCACTATCTTCATCCAACAAGGCACCGCGCGTGCCCTCCTGGAGTCCTGTTCTTCCACCTCTGAGCCATTTCATTAACTCTGTGTTAGCTTAACCCCGTCAAGCTCAAAAAACCCCTTCTCTGTAGCTGGTCTGCTGCTTGGTTTCATCTTCCCTCTGTGCCTGTGAAACTCGTTATTAGCAAAAGCCCCTCTGCTGCTCACTACATAGCAATGGGGTTGTTTTTCTGGGGTTTGACACCTGATGGTGTTGAATGTGGTCTGTGAAACCTGGGCAGACCTGCTGCTGCTGGAAGTCCCTCATCTCCTCACCTTGTATCCATAGGGACTCGTCCTATCCTCTTGGGCAGAAATCCTCTTTTGGGATCTGGCTCTCTGCAAAAAATAATGCCAGTGCTCAGCGCTGGGGGTCCTGAGTCTGGCCCTTACAGGGTCTGGGGCTGGGCTGAAGGCAGGTGAGACCCCCCAAAAGGCTCAAGGAGCCCCAGATTGCAGGAGGAGCTGGGATGGTAACTGGGGATGGGGCTGCTCTGGGCACAGGGACCGCTTGGTGCCAAGCTGGGTGGGAGATGCAGATCCCTGCCCAACCCTCATCATAAAAAATGTCCTTACGCCCAACCTATATCTACCCTCTTTAAAACCATTGCCCCCTGGCCTGCTGCTACAGGCCCTGGTAAAAAGTCCACCCCACCTTTCTTATCAGCTCCTTTAAGCCCTGACCGGCCGCACTCAGCTCTGCCCACAGCCTTCTCTTCTCCAGGCTGAACACCCCCAACTCTCCCAGCCTGGCCCCATAGCAGAGGGGCTCCAGCCCTGGGACCACCTCCGTGGCCTCCTCCGGCCCCGC